TTGATCTGATGACCAACGCTCTAACCACTGCGCCAAAACCGACCCAACTCACAGAAAATACTACATACACTAAATACAGTACTCACAGTAAATACTTTTTCTGGCTGTCCCTTGGCCCTCCAGTTGGTGTCATGGACCTGCTTCAGGATCATCCAAGCCTCATCGTGCTCGGCTGTCTGCTCAACACAAACACGCACACACACACAGCAATGAGAACACACACTGAGCCGAGGTTACTGCATGTATGCATTGCCACGTGTACCAAATATCAAGCAATGCATAATCAAGTATAAATGTGTAACACATTGTTTGTTTGACATCATATGGTTGTTGCTGGTCCTGTGTTAGAGTAGAATGAAGATGTGTGCAGTCTCACCTCCAGCAGGAAGCGGGGGCTCTCAGGCATGAAGGTGAGACCGACCAGGGAGGAGATAGCAGGAAGAGCTGCAACCAGGACAAACACCCTCCAGCTGTGGAACTGGAACTCTGTGCCCATACTGAACCCCCAGCCTACACACACACACACACACACACACACACACACACACACACACACACACACACACACACACACACACACACACACACACACACACTAGTTGGGGATAAGTGTAAGGTCACTGGAAACAATGCACTGATAACTTGTAAAATCAGAATACAAATTCTAACAAAACATGATGACCTTAATCTTCAGCATGTCCAACAACATGTTTTCCTGAAGATGATTTTCCACAGACTTTCCAAACTGGCAGTTTGTCATGAGGAGAACTCCATGTTTAAATGGCCACAAAAACCCCAAAAGGCCGCCCAGTGAGCAGCCATGGCAAAGTTCAAGTGTTATAGCATGCAGAAATGATGTATTGCTTTAGATTAGAGAAATCATCCATTGTCTGTATTCCTTTTTCTTTCCTTTAGGTGTTGAAACGTTAAGTAAATAACTGCATAACTCAGACACTTTAAAGTCAGTTCTCAACCTGTCTGCTTCCTGAGAACATTTTGCAAGAGATACTGAATGTTGTCCATTTTACATTGAGAAAACAACACTGAACACCTCCTTGACTCTGTCTATGAAAGGACTCATTTTGGGGTCTAACCCAAGGATTAGGAAATTATGATGCGGCAATGAGCTGCTTTCCTATCCAGCAGCATTAATATGCTGTATATTGAGCTGAATTAACTAAGCTCCTTTAGATCTTACCATATCTGGGGATGATTCCCCAGGCGGTGAAGGAAGCGTAGATGCCACCGATCATCCAGAACATACACAACCAGGACAGATGCTCGCCTCTCTTATCCATCTGGAGGAACTCGGAGAAGTACGAGTACACGATGGGCACTGTGCCACCAATACTGAGAGAACAGAGGAATAATGACAGAGAAAGAGTAATAATTACAACTAATACTTTAAGATGTATTAGCTGACCACTGAACTATAAACAACATACAAATGTTTCATTGTAAAAGTATTTCCACTTTTTTAAATCTTGCAATGACAGAACATATCCTATTTTAAACATTACGAGAAGTGCCAAAAGTCATGTTGTAGCAAACAGAAACTCAGAGAGCAAAGTGGTTTAGTCGTCACATTCTGACTCTCTTTCGTCTTCAGGCACACTCCCACACCTTGAACCCTACCATTGTCATTCCCTAACTGTCCACCAGAGGCCCTCAGACTTCTCCCCCAGGTCTCCTTCAGTTGCTGCACCATGACCTTAATTGTGTCACTCAGAGCCTGCCTTCCTGTACCTGCCTGTAACATCCTGTATGTACATCTTTGTTTCTATAGGAGGAAATAAGAGATTTCTAGTGTGAAATAAGCTTGAATAACATGCCAGAAACACTCACTGAAAAGCATTAATATGATTACATGTGGGTGCAGATGTGTGGCACACACATGCACATACATACACATGACATCTTTTGATAAGGCGAGCTTTTCTGCATCACATCCTCTGCTGAGCTCAGGATGTGACCTCATTTCTCAGCCCGAGTGTCCCTGTGGACTACAGTGAGCCTGAGTTAGAACACTCTGCTGTGTAACAGCAATAAAACCCGAACCACACTCTGCATATGCATGGTGTGGAGCTTGATTGATGATTTCTTTATTAAAAAGCTTTTGAAAGACGTTGCAATAGGAAATGTTACACATCTGGGGCTCTGGTTGAGCAAAGAGGAACTCCAACACCAGGACATGCTTAAGGTGAACGCTTTCTGCTCACAATATCTGTGGGGTTTCCACTGTGTGAAGGGGGATACAAAGGAGAGCATGTCTACATTTAGGACACCCAGCTAATGTACTCTGCACCTCCTTATGAAAGGTTTGAGTTGAGGAGAAAAACCACATGCTTTTACGCTGATTATCACATTTTTAAGAATTAAAAATATTGAACTTATTTGGGAAAAATTTATTTAAAAAAATGTAAACTGTGCTGAAGTATAGGTGTTGGCTGCATTGGGGGATGTTAATACTTTGATGGATTTAAAATCCTGCCCACAGCCCTCTCCAAAGATCTAAACTCTGTTTTTTAGGGAACAGTGTTTCAACAACAGGCTTAAAATATGTATGTCTCTGGAAGAGAACATACTATTCTTTCACAATGATTTTGTGATTTAGAATGATTAAAAATGTTTATTTTCAAATGAAAACCTTACACAATACAGCCTGGTTGTTAAGTTAACAATAAGAATTAGCTTCTATAAACTTTACACATTAAGTATGTATTATTAAGACCATCTTAAGACTGCGCTGGTCCTGCTTGGAGTGGAAACATAAAACGTTCACCTCAGTAAGAGAAGGAGTGTGTGTGTGTGTGTGTGTGTGTGTGTGTGTGTGTGTGTGTGTGTGTGTGTGTGTGTGTGTGTGTGTGTGTGTGTGTGTGTGTGTGTGTGTGTGTGTGTGCGTGCGTGCTGTGTTTGTGTGTGAGTATTACCCAACACCAGACAGCACCCTGAAAAAGAGGAAGAAGCCATATCCCTGGGCGAAGGCAGACAGGAAGGCAAAGACACAGTTTATAGCTAACGCCACGATCAGACAGCGCCGCCGGCCCACTTTGTCTGCCAGACCCCCCCACAGGAACGCTCCCACCATCATGCTCAGGAAGACGGTCAGACCTGCACAGAGAACAAGAAAAGTAGAATTGTATAGAGATATGACAAATCTGAAAAAACTATAGTGTCAGCTCTATGATAACTTTTGTTAGATGGTAATTAGCTTAGCTAGCTTCTGTTGCCCCTTTAATCAGACAGAACTCTGTCTCCAGTTTGGCAACTTTATTCTTCCAGATGGAACATTTATTACATTTGAGCAGACAGCTGCCATAAGGAGACAGCTGTTCAATTCTCATTTCCAACATGTGTTGTTTTTGAAAGCATGGCCATGGTTGCTCCCTAACCTCAACCATATTATATATACTGTAACATATTATTGTATGTTAATGTCCCATTACATGACTTAGTTATTTTAGATGTTCGCTAACCTATCAAAGTACTGAGTTCGCCTTAAATTCGTTTTTTAATCTTAAACCTATCAAAGTTATGTTTGGATCTGAATGGTCTGAATCCACCCAAATTAACCATAGCAGGAAGATTGAAACATATATATTTTTCCAAATAATTTGTAGGCTATGGTTTCAGAGGGAACAGACAAATGATATCCTGCTTGTGTTTAAACATGATTAACCTTTCCACCTTCTTAATAATGATAATAATGCATTTATTTCATGTGCAAATGAATTCTTTACTGAAAAGCTTTGTGTTGCCTCATTTAGAAGCTTGAACTGAATAGGGACACATTGCTGACATTTATAACAGGGATTAATAAAGGTGTATTTTTTTTTAATTGAAATAAATAGATAAAACAAAAGAGTGATCGTGAGTGTGAGTAACCATTTGGTTTCACTTTCATTTTTTACTTCAATACACTTTTCAATTTTGTGAACGTTCATACAGTGCGCATTCAAAATCAAACAAAATATCTAGATGTGCTTTTTGTAGGCAGGCCTATGGAAAACTGTTATTTTCCCATGGCAGACGCACATCAATCAGATCCACTCACGCATCATAATTACGTTGCCTAGTGTAAGTAGTGGAGTCGGATTCTCTCAGCACTGCTTTTGTCTTTTCATAAGTCCTGATACATTCTCCTTCACATCTTTCCTTAACCCCATGCAGTTTCTCATAGAAGTTAAGGGACAGTAGTCGGGAAAGACGATCTGATATTTTGTTAATTCAACCACAACCCTGTATTTGCCATTTTTTCATCCTCTCATTTTATTTCCAAAAGTCGGGTTAACTAACATACACGGAGGTCTTAGACTTAGACCATACCGCCTGTGTAATGTCAGCACTCTTTTTGCCTTAACATTTCAAATCCTTGAGGAGCAGCTTGCTTCTGCTCCCGCCACGAATATCCCCCCCACTGCTGCCAGAGACGGAGAGCATGTAACACTACACCTCAGTGTGCAGATGGCCATGAAGCAGGGAACAGCTGACTCTGTGACTCATCATATCGGGTCGGAAATGATAAAAGCCATTAACATAAACTTTATGAAACACATGAAAACCTTCAAAATGCACACCCTTGAAACCAGTCCTAGCAGGGACGACTGTAACCAACAGGATGATATCTACTTTCAAACTCTGTCCCAGGAACAGGGGCGCCGCCAGGGATTTTGGGCCCCATGAAAAGATAATCACATTGGTTACTTAAACATTTTTTTCTTAATGTTCTACAATTGTTTGGGCCCCTGTCAGTCACGGGCCCTTAGAATCGTCCTAACTTTTCACCCCCTTACGGCGCCCCTCTCCTCTCATTTGGAACATTGACAAAAAAGGGAAGAGGAAACGTGAGGGACACAATATGAAGGGGGGGAAGTCCCCACAAA